TGAACTAATTTAAATAAATAAAAAAAATGTCTGGTGAGGAGGAGGAGAAACGATACTAAGTTGATGAGCTGTTAAATAGATTAGAAAGCCGACTAATTTATAAATAGGAAAACCTGACTTAAAAATTTTCTATAAAAATAATATATAATTAATATAATTAATAATAATTAACAAATTAAGTAATTGTGAAGAAATGATGCGGGTGGACAGGTAAGCGTATAGGTATCAAGAAATGACTCAACCTAACGGTATTGATTGCCGTCTATAGCAATGTGGGGGATGAAAAGAGATCCCACGCTTGTCACGACAAATCCCACGTGTAATCATGTGATGCGGGGCGGGTCTACTAGAAGAAATTGTGATCGATCACATACAAGGGTCGGGCAGTAGATAGTTGCCCTGCTGACAACAACAACAAAAAAAGAGTGACAACATAAATTGGAAATGATGTACTGTAACATCGTCTTGGAATATTTCTGATCAAAAACCCGAAAACCTTTATCAAAATGTAAGTTATTTCATAACTAATCAAAAGACGAGTTTCTTCTTAACCGCGTAAAGCCCGACAATAACTCTGTCTTGGCAAATTACTTCCTACTTTTGGCTTTTAGTAGCGCAATACGTTCCCATTAAAAAGTGCACCGGTGAAAAGTTTGGTTACAGGATAGCGAAACCTCATTAAACTGTCAATAAAACCATCTGGACGGTCAGTACATATATAAGTTGGTGGTTGCTTCTTCTTTTTTCCTTATATTATTATTATTTTTTTTTTATACACATTTAATCGGAGTCGAATACTGTCCGAAACTACTCGGAGATTAATCAAAGTTGCATTCAGACAGATAGCTCGGAGAGGAGGCAAAAAGAGGAAGAAGGAAAAAAAAAAAAATCTAACCGAGACAGGAGCGAGCACAGAAAGATAACACTTGTCATTTGTCATTACAAGATAGGGATGGCGAGGGGGGAGACGCCATTTTTTTCGGTTTTTGTACCCTTACGGTAAAAAAAGCGAATTCCTCCCGGCATAGCAGAAATTACTGCGGGTCTCTGACGCGATACGGTTTTAAATATACTTTAGTCGACGGTTTGTTTACTACCTCTATGAACGATGGCTCCTCAATCACGTAATTTATTCTTGCCAGGACCGGGGGGGTGGGTGGAAAATAGCGGGTGGGATTTTCAATTTGATAGTCTTTGTAGGAGAAAGCTACAAATGAAAAACTGTCTCCTTTCTCTTGTTACTTTTTTTTTCCCCTTTCGGGTTAAGTAAAGAGCGACTCGATTCCCCCTAACGGTAAATTCCCCAACTAATTTCCCGGACCAACGCTATCGGAAGGGGGGGAGGGAGAGAAAGAGATGAAGAAGAAGAAGAAGAGGAGGAGGAGGAGGAGATGGAAAAAAATATATCATTTCGGACTTCGGTGTTTTGTCGCCTTTATATGTCTCATTCACGCTGCGAAGAAACTTAATCAAGAAACAAGAATCAAAAGAAAATGGAAAGAAAACATTTCCAACAATTAGAACAGTTCAAAAACGATAAAAAATAAGCTTCGGTTCCCGTTTGACGTAGAGGTTGCACGAAGGTGACTGAAGAACGAACGATCTCCATTACAATTTCTGACTTGAACATTAATGAACATGACTGAAACTTGGGTGTGGTTCAACAGAAATAGCAACAAACTCATTATCTAAGAGGTGGATAGGGAAAAAAATTTTTTTGTCATGGGTCGATTTGGTAAATAGCTTTTTTTTTAAAAAAAAATTTAATTAAATTACAATTAAAAAAAAATTTCTTTTTAAAGTTAAAAAATTATTATTGGTATTGTTATCTAAACAATACATAATAATANATAGGGAAAAAAATTTTTTTGTCATGGGTCGATTTGGTAAATAGCTTTTTTTTTTTAAAAAAATTTAATTAAATTACAATTAAAAAAAATTTCTTTTTAAAGTTAAAAAATTATTATTGGTATTGTTATCTAAACAATACATAATAATAACATTTTTACAATTCTTAAATCATTATATATGTATTTTTTTAATCTACTTCTCGATCCTTTTAGAAATAGTTTAACCGATTTGTAAAATTATCCTATAGTAATATATACTCTGAATAGGGGGGAAAGTCAACCAAAAAACAAGTAAAAAAAAAAAAGGAAATTAATGAGAAAGGTAGAGGTATTTTTCAACTTCTATATGTGCATGTAATAAAACTGTCTCAAGGTTAAACTAGAACGTTTTTAGTATCTTTATTAGGATTAGGATAAGCTAAAATGCTTTTTTGCTTTAATAGCTTTGTTAGGGTTGTGATCGTTCTTGATTAATTATAAAACCAGGAAAATAAAAAGAAAAATTCGAGAGGAATTTCGATTTTCTCGATTGTTCATCCCGCTTTTGTTGCGTTATTAACTGCATTAAATTTATTGACGTATCGCTTCCTCCGTAAGATGCTAATAAGGACGGTGACGTCCGCTTGTCAATACTATTGACATCCAGGGATCTACAAACCGTCGATCACACGCAGTTCTTTCCACCGTTTTTTCCCGCCGTTTTCGCAATTCGCACGTACACTGTACGGTTCGGTAGGTGACGTCATACGAGCGGCCGTTCAATCCGTCGCGTTGTAGTACTGTACTTCGGCGCGATGCACGCGACAATCCGATACACCTGTCTACATTCCAGAATAAGTGCTTTTGTGTAACGTTGCAATTTTTTGGTCCCTTTTTTCTCTCTCTCTAGTCTTCCTCAAAATGAAATAACTTCTATCTAAATGTTTACACACCGGACAAGTGAGAGTTGGATAAAATAAAAACCGTAACTTTTTCGCCATTTTTGTTAGTGTTCCTATTGTTAAAAGATGTATTTCCATCCAAAAAGAAAGAAAGAAAAGAAAAAAACTTTCATTTTCTNGGATCTCCAAGTGTTTATAAAAACTAAGAGGGTGTATTCCATATCCCTTGACACTCTTTGCCGCGATAACCGATAAATGGTCGACGACATACGATCTAACGTTGAGAAAGGATGCAACGCGATAGACACCGATTGAATTTCCGTAATATTACGACGGAATATTCGTAAAAGTCATTTTTCGGTCACGTTACTAGAGGAAAATATTCGGATAATTCGAAATTTTACACCATATGTTTAAAAAGACGGGCCGTTGGATTTTTTGGCGAATTAAAAAAAAAATTAGGGATAAGATAGGATTTACTTACGTGTCGGTCGATTTTTACTTTTCTTGCTGGGTTCCTCGATGAGGGGAGGCTTCCCCCTGTTCCTAGCTGCATCCCGACTCCTGGCAGCTACTATCAGGACACAGAAACAATATAAAGTCAGCTTCCAAGTGGCGAGCATCGCTACACTATCAACACGAGGGGTGTGTATGGTTGAGAGAGGCGAGACAGCGCCTCGTGCGGTCAGTAGAGAGGGTCGGCTGCTGTAAGTGAGGTTGGCAATGTGTCACATCCTTAAATAGTCGGCAATGCACGTGCACAGGCCACACCCCGCAGGTCACCGGGTGCAGGTGGAAAGTCGGCAAATATTGTAGTTTACCCTACAGCGTTCCTTAGGCGATAGGAAAAGACGCACGTGTGGGATATCTACAAATATCCTAGTAAAAGCCGATGACGTCACGTGCGTATTAACCAATGGCGGCGGAGTCGAGATCGTAGCTAGCGCGTAAGATCCCGATGGCCAGGAGGTCAAAGTACCTACACCACACCCGCTCCATCTTGCGCCACCTTTGACCCGACGGGCGCGGCGAGCCCGAAACTGGCGAAGACGGGACGTGCGCATCTCCGTCGCCACCGCGCCACCTGTCGGGATTATAAAGCGGTACAGTCGATTGGGTAAGGTGCCGCTCCGCCATTCGATTATTTCGTGGTTTTGGCACGCCAAGGCGCCCGATAGTTAATGGTTAACCCGAGCATCTGCATCCTTAAGAGTGTTGCAGTTCGCAGATGGGAGTATTATCCGTTAGATGTCGCTGTTGCCGGCCAGACGTCGCCATCTACAGATGCGGAGGGAGACGTAGCTTGTCTGAGGATTGCCGAAAACCCGTTCTCCAGCAATATTAGGGCAGGTTTTTCCCCTTTCATTCTCATGTTGAGTGCAAATGCGCGAAGGGCACTTTACCGCACCCTTGCTGCACGGTGGGAATGTAGTTACAGGTGAAAGCATAAAGTAAAAATAATCCACTCCATCCATTCCGGGTATTATTATGTAAGAGAGAGTGTGGAACCGACACACCAGCGTATTTATTTACAGGAAGCCTTCAGAAATTTAGGCATAAGAAGAAGAAGAAGAAGAAAAAAAAAACTCTTACTCTGATATTTTATTGCTGAAAATAATTTATTTTATAAAACAATTAAGTAAGACCTTTTAAAAAACTTTTTTACAGTAAACAAACGTTTCTCTTTATATACACATATTTGCTCTATTTTATGTAAAAACAAATGAGTAAATCTAATTGAACTTATAGATTAACATTGTATAAACTGCAGCAAGTTATATAAATTAAAAACTATAAGATATTATAAACAGGAATAAGAAGAATATAATGGGATTTGTATCAAATATACCTTTTATATACAGTCTAAACGGTAGAAAACGAGGGAAATTTTACAGATTTCTATTTGTTTTATTAAAAAGGCATTTAATTAATCAACTCGTGAATTTTTCAAGTTTAGATTACACGAGTTTTTAACAGTCAAAAAGTTAAAAATTTGTGGTTATAATATTAATTTTTATGGTTTAAAAACACCAACGAAATAAACACATTGAATCATTCTAATTGAAATTTGTGTTTGCAAATAGCAATATAATAATAAAAGGAAAGAAAAAAATGCATGTAAAACAATTTAATTCGAAATTTTATAATTAACTGTTTACTCTAAATCAATTAAAATACAGAATTTTCAATTTAAATTTTTTCTTTTCTTTTCTTTTTTTAAAGGGGAGAGAGGAGGAGGAGGAGGAGGAGGAAGAGGAAAGAAGATATTCCTAAAAAAAAAAAATTAGGATAAATAAAATCGATTGCATTACATAAAAATAAAACAATACAAATATAGTCTACATTAACATAATAAGGAATGAAGTGTTATCTAGAAAATAACTTGACTTATCTACGTAGGAAAAATTAATAGTTCGTAAACTAATCTTTATTACTTTACAATGAATTTATATATATTTTTCGTGAATAATTTCTGTAAATAATTATACATTTAGTATCGATTTTTCAACTTATCCATTAACGCCTTAATGCTCACGAATACAAAGAATCCTAGAATCTATTTAATCCAAACCTATTATCTGTAGCAGCCATTTTTAATAATCTATCAGGTCTTTTTTTTTAATCTAATTTTGAAAAGTAAAAGGAATAAAAAAAAAGAGAGAGAGAGAGAATGTTATTTTATTAACAACAACCGCAATGATTTCTTCATCATTCGTTTCCATTAATTTATTAAAAACATTTTCGAGATCGCGATCAATCTTGTTTGATTATAATTTCGCTTACAGGACAAACTAAAAATAAAAAATAAAAATAACAATTTCGAAAAAAAAAATA